ACTTCTTGGGCGGGGTGCTGCTGTTGTCCCCTTGAGCGCCACAGGTTTCTGAATATGACTGAAGCCCTAAAGGGATGGAGTTGGATTCAGACTGCCTTGACCATGCAGGATGTAAGCCAACCCTCTACACCTGCCCCACCCTATTCCATTCTCTCCCACTCCCACGTCTCATCCAGATGCAGAGAGTTTCTCACAGGTCTCCTCTCACCCCTGTGGACAAAGGAGAGACCAGTCCCTCACCCCTGAGGATGTGACCACTCCACCCAGGGACAGATGTTTTCATAACTAATTAATAACACTGGACAACTTTCGCCTCCACAAGGAAGAGTGATGGGAAGGTTGCACTCCATCCCAGAGCCCAAAACATTGTGTCTGTGCTATGCACCTGGGCAATTATTTCATGTTTGTCTTTTGCAAAATGTCACTTTTCGTCTCCATGGCAGACACCTGCTGCCCAGTTCTGTAGGGTGAAACAAGACAGTCCATGAAATGGACGTCCACAGAAAGCTGAGGAATGTTATTCTGTCCTCACTCAGGTCTATCCTTGCATTGCAAAGCCTTGTGGTACCTCCTCTACATCTTCTCCACTGACAGAAGTACTTAAACTAGGAATATACTTGGCAACTCATGTCATCAAATTCAGATCATCTTACCATGTGGTGGAGGAACGAGCTGTGGGTGAGGCCCCCCTGTCCACCCATGTGGAGGAGGCTGAGGTAACCCATAGCCATTGAAGCCTAGTAAAAAACCGCCCCGTGGGGTAGGGCATATGGGGGGGCCTTGGAGCACGAGGAAACCCTCTCACATCTGTACAGACCTGCAGAACAGAGGACAAAATATTCGGCTAAGACAGCCAAAAGTTGCAACACCAAGAGATGAAACCCAAAGAGCAAGCTCTCAGCATCTGGCTCCTTCTCCAATACCACATTCCAGAACAGCCGCATCATGCTAGAAAACTTTATCCCTCTCATTTGGTACCGACTATAATAAGGCAGGGAGCAGAGGTACAGATGTTATAGGAATAACCTACTGTCACCAAACATCACTACCCCTGCCTGCCAACGTTCACTACCAAGAAGTAGTGTCTTAAAAGGTGAAAAGAGATCATTGCATACGAGTAAAACAGCATACTCCAGACACAGAGGCATCGACATCCTGGGCAACACTTCATCTTTCCTCTTCAACCACCGTAGATTTGGGTTTGTTAAGAAGAGACAGAATGTGATGAAACTGAATGCCGTTTCTCCACAAGGAATCCGAGGCACTCGAGCTGAATCCTTTGCCTGCCAAGCCCCTGACTATCCCCATGGCCTCACTTCCCGACAAAGCGCTCTTCTACACTCTGCAGTTTCTGTCCAAGGCCACAAAGACCCTGGAGGAATTAGGGGCCTGTGGTCTGACAGGGCTCCTGGAAAAGGGTTTTCTGAGAGGAATATGATACCAATAGCCCTTATTTACATGCAGCAGCTGTGTTTATCTTAAAACACACTCTTCGGAAATTTCCGCACACTGCGTTCCAGAGCAATTTTGTACAGTGGCAAATTAAGATGGGAAGACTAAATAAGAGAATTCACAAAAATGTATATGCTTTCTGATGGACAACTCCAGAGCGTGTAATGAGAGAAGAAACTAGCTCTCACAGTGACATAGGACCAAAACGACCTGCTCCTAGAAGCCCAATGGAAGGGCTTGTGAGGCACTGGTCACACAGCTAATCACTGACATCCACCCTTCAGAACGTGTGTGCCAGTCCAACCATCAGCTTTGAAAATTCAAAAACAGTTATAGAAAGGGTTACAAGTAGATGGATTCTGTACAGCATTTTTACCAGCAGAAGTAAAACATGGATGACTTATAAAATTTCCCCTATCTAAGAAGATTCCAAACTGCCAAACAGACAATATAAAATGGAGATTTTGCTCCTGTTTCCAGTTGTGGGGATTACCACAGACCTTGTCACAGGTTAATCATCTAACCCCAACATGAACACTACCCCAATCGCACCTGATTGTAACCTACTGACTGGGAGTCAGGCTGGCCAGATACTTCACTGTGGAGTGAGGTGTCATCCTCTTCGAGTTAATTCCCCCCATGGGCACTGTGGGCGGGCAGGGGTGGATGGACACACACACACACACGCACGCACCCACAGTGAGCGCCCTGCCATCCTGCACCTCTAAGCACCTGTGGCTTTGGAAGGTGCCACTGAAGGTGATGATCTGTAATGGAGAAACCTGTCAGCCCTTGAGTGAACGGCTTGCATTTTGAAAGGTAAACAATACCATAGACCAACTGCAGGACACACCCAACAGACACAAGGCAAGCACTGGGTGCAGTTCAGTAAGGGAAGTTTGCGGAACACCTGGAAAAGGCCAAAAGAGGTACCTTGCCCATCCCTGGACTTCTGTGACGTTCAGTGCCCCTGTTCCTCATGGGAGCCCCAGCAGCTTGAGCGTCAGACCAAGGCCTAGAACCGATGGAGGTGGATGCAGACCGGCATTGACTGTGCAGAATTCAAACCAATGCTCCAAACCTGCTGCCATTACATTCCCTTCTCTCCCACTCTCGGGTCCCTTCTCAGACATAGAGCATCTCCCACATGTTTCTGCTGATGCCTGAATACAAGGGGAAGACCTGCCCTTCCCCCTCAAAGAAGGGACCACAGCCCCACACCTTCCTTCAGGTGTTTTCATAGCTAAGGAAAAAAAAATCCGGGCTCAACCAGCTGAAAATGAACTGAGCTGGGGTGCCTGGGTGGCTCAGTCTCTTAATTGTCTGCCTTAGACCCAGGTCATGATCCCAGGGTCCTGGGATTGAGCCCTGCATCCGGCGTCCTGCTCCACGGAGAGACTGCTTCTCCCTCTCCCTCTGCCTGCTGCTCTGCCTACTTGTGTTCTCTATTTCTCTGTCAAATAAATAAACAAATCCTTAAAAAAATGAAATGAGCAGTGTGCTTCATCCCTCAACAGCCCAAAATATACTCCCTGGAAATAGCCTGGCTGAAAAATGTTATGTCTAACTTTCTGTAAAATGTCTTTCTCTCTCTACAAGAGACACCTGCTACCCAGATCAAAATGGAAAAATGACACAGCCCCACAATGTAATAATAGTGTAGAAACTGATGAATCTTGGAATGTCTTTAGCCAGCGGAATCCCTGCAATACAAAGCCCTAGGGCAGCACTTCTACATCTTCTCCAAAGTCTCCTCCTGGAGAAAGATGGATATGCTTTGCAAGTCAAGACCTACAGTTCAGATCACTTTGCCAAATGCAGGAGGTGGAGGTGGTCTGTGAGGTTCCTGAGGCCAGCAGGGTGCAGGCTGTGAACGTGGCCCATAGTACAGGAACGGTGATAAGGTAAGACCCCTGGGGTAAGGCCCGCAGGGTGGTCCAAGAAATGACGAAGCCCCTGTGCATCCATACAGATGTACACACACAAAATAAACTATAGGCTGAGATGAGACACAAAAGTAACACCACCAACAAAAGCTGAAACCCAAAGAAACAGGTCTCAGCACCTGAAACCGTTCCTACCACCACATTCCAGGACAGGAGGATCAATGCCAGAGGTTACCTATGTCTTGCGTCCCACCTATGGCCTGCGGTGAACAGATGTCATGGGGATAAACTACTGTCACCACATGTTAATATATGTCTGCAAATCTACAGAGGCACGGAATCTGCCCCAAAGCCTTGGCAGAGTTAATACCAAACTAATAAAAGGGTCTATTACAGATGGGCTGGCATCAACGTCCAGGAACACGCTTCCCCGCCGTGACAACTACAGAATCACCTTCTGTATACTGAGCACAAACAGAATGAGGTGCAATGGGAAGCCCAATGTCCAAGATGAAGAACAGCCCCTCGTGGGTCCAACTGCTGCCCACCAGCCCCCGCCTGACCCCGCTCTGATTCCCTCCCTGACAAAAGAGGCTTCTACTCTCCCAAGTGCTCACCATGGCCACAGACACCGCTCAGGAGACAGGAATTTCTGCAGTTCAGTAGCAGACCTGGAAAATTGCTGAGAGGTGCATGATCCCTATGAATTAGTGAGACCCAGCTCTGTGGATCTGCGTCACCGACGTTCCGATGCTCCTTAGCTCAGGCACAGAGCCAATGCATCGTCCTGGTGCCAAGAACCACTGAATGGCCGATTCTGCATCCCCGGATGCAAACCAATGTGTCTGGATAGCAGGTGTGACCCTCCCAGGATGGATCAGGAGAGATGCTATCAGTTGGCACAGCCACCAAACCGCATCAGAAACCGCTCACAGGAGCACAGCTGAAACATGTGTGAGGTGTGGACCCTGCAAGGAGTCACTGGGATTCCCTCTTGACAGCTGTGCTCCGGGGGGCGTTTTCCACCACACACCTGGCACCTGGAAGAGATCACCTTCATTTCACCCAGGGTGCCACTGGAGGGATTCGGGGTCATGTCTTTACCCACACAGATGGAACGCACAAGAGGTCGCAGCTCACCTTCTCCACCAACACTCACAGCTGCCCAAAGCACATGGTACAGAGTGTGAGGCAGGGCATGGCTTTTCCCGCTGCCAGCTGTGAGGATTACCGCAGACATTCTCCCAGGTCAGTCTCCTGACCCGAAAACCAACACCACGACCGCTCCCGCGGGAAAGCAAACTGCAAGGAGTCAGCGGGACTGGCCGACTTCAGTGTCGAGTGAGATGTTGCCCTCCTCCAGGGGTTTACACACACACACACACACACACACACATACACACACACACACAAATTTGGGGTGAGCATCCTTTCATCATTTGCCTCTAAGCATCTACAACTTCGGGAGGAAGCACGTAAGCTGAGGATCTCTAATGGGGAAGCCTGGAGGCTCCTGGGTAAACAGCTTGCATTCTGAAAGGGGAAGGATGCCTCAGATAAATCACAGAACACACCCAACAGCCACAAGGCCAGGACAGGGTGCTGTCCCTACAGGAGTAACTTCCAGAAACAGGCACAACTGAAAACGCCCGTCGCATTTACCGTAGCCATCTCCGGGTCCTTTTTCGGGCTGGTGCTGCTGTTCATCCTGGGAACCGGTCTAGATTCTGGAGGGGACAAAGGATGGAGGTTTATTGTGGTTTGCATACCCTCCGTGCCTTCCTCCTCCATCTCACACTCTTTCCCACACTCGGGTCCCTGATCTGAAGAGAGGGTTTCCCCACATGACTCAAGCGACTTCTTTGCTAAGAGAGATACCAGTCACCTGACTCTTGCGGGAGACACTCCAGGACCCTGGTTCCAGTGTTTCCATAAGTAACCAATCAACAGTGGACAGATTGGGGTACAACTGGCTGGAAATTAATACTGAAATTGGGGTGCTCAATACAAATCCAAAAAAATCACTTTTTCTTTATAGATTAAAAATCTAAGTGAGAATAGCCTTGAGTGGGTGATATCAACAAACCCGCAACACGAACGGCATGCATTCTTTCCTCAGGCCGCCAGTTAATGGTGCAATCTTTCAGTCTCTAGATGATCTCTAGCATGTGTGACTGGCTATTACGTAAATACTGAAGAGAAGAATTGGAGTAGACTAATCGTACAGTCAGGAGCAAAGAAAAAAACAGGCGGATTGAGAAGTAAAGCTGTGGCATTATACCGATAACATTAGAGGAGTAAAATGCACGAATTTCATTGATGAATATAGTACTGTAGATTACAAATAAAACAAAAATAAAAGAATATCCATAAGGGGTAAATGTCATTTTTCTCAAACAGTCTTATTTTTTTTTTTCAAATGGCTTCACCATTGCGTCAAGGTGGGAAGGGAGCTCAGGCTCACAACACCTCCAGGCTCAGCTGTTCAGTAGGGGGATGGTGGAGGGGGTGGGGGTGGGGGTCTGCAGTTAGGGGAGGGGCGTGAGCTCCACCTCTCACAGGGACAGGTGCCCTGCTGCCGGTAGGCACCTGAGGAAAGCACCCTCCTGTCACGCCTTCAGACAACCTGCTGTCCTTAGGTAGTGCTTGTGATTCTCTCTAGGACACACAACGATCACCCACAAGAATGGGGATGACATCAAGTGCTTTCCCAGCAGAAATCAGGCTGCTGCATTTCACAGCATGCTCTCTACCTCTCTGCACACGGTTCCATATCTCGGATCTTCCCGGCATCGGTTCCTGCCTCATGGATCCCTCAGGAGGCGTCTCTCTCCTCATCATGTGCAGTCTTGACTACAGAAAAAGAATGGATGTCTATAAGAATTACAACACCATGTCTTCTACCAGACACTAAACAGCTTAGCCTTGACCCCTCAAGACACCCATAAAAAGGCACGTCAAACTCGCACACCTGTGTTTCATGTAGGCGTTCTCCCTGCTCTGCTGCACTAACTTCCTCTCCCAAAACCGAGCCTTAACCTGGGGGAGAAAAACACATCCACCCTCAGTTGTGCCGGACTGTGCCCCAAACAAAGAGGAGGAAAAAGAAAACACTTACCCAATTATCTAGAGCGCTTCTCTCATAAGCTGCGACCTGAAAAAGTCAATTCACCAAGAGCCCATGTTCAGGGATCTAAGGGCCACTTCCATCACCTGCAGGAGGCACGAAGGGGCCAGTATGTTGGGGCGGAACTCAGGTTACCTTGTGTTTGAAGGTGAGCTCTGCCTTCTGCAGCTGATCTTGCATTTCTCCAATTTCTTGTCTGTGAGTTATAATTGCTTTTGTCAGATAAAGCCCAATATTGGCTGTGATTTTAGGTTTTTTTTAAAGATTTTATTATTTATTTGACAGAGGGAGACCCAGTGAGAGAAGGAAGCAAGCAGAGGGAGTGGGAGAGGGAGAAGCAGGCTTCCCGCAGAGCAGGAGCCCGATGCGGGGCTTGATCCCAGGACCCTGGGACCATGACCTGAGCCGAAGGCAGACGCTTAACGACAGCCACCCAGGCGCCCCTTGGGTGTGATTTTAAATCACCTGCCCATGTGGCCATCCTCCTCTGATCTGTCCCCTCATACGATTTATCCTGACACAGGAAACACTTTCCCATGATAATAAATGTACAGTAGGATCAAAGCTATCGTTACATCCTCTCCTTACTCGTTTCTCCACACCTGCAGGGTTCAGAGTTGACATAATTTCCTTACCTGATATCAATCTTTCCCTCATTTATCACATGACAAGGAGCTTTTACCATGGAGCTCTATTGTCCTTTAACTTCTATGCTCGCCATGATACCCAGGGTTGCAAAGACCGCGCCATCAGATGGCACTACCGGGTTCATGGGCAGGATTCATCCTACGACAAACTGCTTTCCTCAAGATTAGGACCACTGACACCACCCTTGGGGGTGGAATGGCATGGCGGAAGTTTCCACAGAGTCAGGCCAGCGCTGGGGATCAGGACATGTTTAGTAACATAATTGTTTTGTTCTTTCTAAAACTTGTCTTTTTGTGTCTGTTAATTCTCTCTGGATATGGCCTCTGAATTTTTGTTTATATTACTTGTTAATTGAGTCTAAACCATGTACAAAGATTGAAAATACGAAGTGAACAGGGATTTCAGGAGCCGCTAATATTTAGTGTCTGAACTCACTTATACTTGTCTATCTCTTCGGTAACCAGTTTCAAATTTTCCTCAGCAGCTGCCAGTTGACTCTTCTGTGCCTTCAGTTCACAGTGTGTATTTTCCAGCTTCCTAAGATGGGAAAGGTATATACACAGTCCGGTAGCCAAGGTCCTGAATTTCTGCCGTTTTTCCTCCCAACACACCTGATGGCCTACATTCAAATGACCCCCATAAATGCACAGACTGACAACACAATGAGGGAAACAAACTGAAGGCCCCATTTAGGGTTAAAGAAAAATCAAACTCTGGAAGCTGCCAAGTCTCCGGCAATCAGAGTTGTCTTTATACTTCTCTACTTCAGTCCATTCGTCATCAAGCCCCCAAATAACATTGCACTTCATGCCATCTCAGAGTTGGTCTTTTGTCTGAGATGGTGAGGGCTCCTTTCAGGTCAAAGCAAAAAGCCATGCTTGACCAACTATACCCATTAGGATGAAGCAGGGGACGATCATTAGTCTTACACCTCCATGGGGAGCCCTGATCCTCAGACCAAGGCTGTGCCTGACACAGACAATCAACCCGAAAGGAAGCCTTCTAGAATATGGCTTCATCAGCATGGCAACTCACTCCCAGACATTTCTAGGATCTAGAAGTAAAATCCCGCCACCTCCCTGGAAGATCCTGGTGGAAGAAAGGCCTATTTTAGTGCCCACAATATGTCCTAAAGTATAAAATGCTGTGAAATGTCACATAGTCAGTGTGTTATTTCCACACAACAGATTTCAGATGGAAAACTATCAACTGCATGGAGTCAACCGAATTTAACAAGACTGAGTTCACTAATAGTGAAAGCAGCAAAGGAGGATGCTTAGAAAGGCTGGTTTGCTATGTTGCCCTCAGGCTCTTTTGTTCATGGTGTCCATTTAAAAGGTTTCAACAGGACACCTGATTTACTCAAGATCACATGCAAAAAGACACTTAGAAACTAAGTCAAAAGCTCTAGACAAAGACACATGCATTTGTTTCTGGTCTCTCAGGAAATCCTTCAGCAAGTGCTTTCTGGAGTGGCTGTAATGGAGTGGCTCAGTTGTAAAGTGTAGAAGACAGAAAGGTGGTCAGGACACTGTACCCACCCCCAAAAGTACTTACCCATGAACAGAACCAAGATGCCAATGACACAGATCAGCCCCCACCCCCGGTGTGGGAAGGAATAACACAAAGCTGAGTCTCCAGGGAAGACAGGGAACAGTTTTGCTTTTCAAGCTGAATGAGGGACTCTAAGGTCCTGATCTCCTCTTGAGAAAATAAAGGAAACACCGGATAAAAGAGGAAACTTGTGAGGGAATGCACTCAGTTTCTAAAGAGCACATGAAGAAACATGAGAACCAGATGGAGAAGAAGGAAGCCTAGAACAAAGCCAGCCTGGCAGTGGGAGCCAATCTCCCCAGGACACATCAATACATTCTGGAACAGCCACGTGAACTGCAAAAAGAAACAACTATTTTATGGGCATGGGCTTAGAACGAAACAAGTGAAGTTCAGGGTCAGCCACCAAAGGTAAGCCCTAGTGAAACTGCAGGCTTTGGTTGGGACCCAGAAGAGTTACACCTAAAAAAAACAGGTGGATGGGAAATACCCCAGCCTTCTTAGGGACTGGGCTATAGTGAGTGATCTCAGCTGTACACTGGATGAAGGGATCCAGGACTGCTGGAGCCCCATCCCACTTTCCACAAAGAAACTCCCAGTGTTTCTGCAGCAAGACAATTCCATTTTTCTATCCACATTATTGACCCAAGTCTCGTACTGAATCAAAATGTGACTGAATTCAGGGTTAATAAGAACATGTGGTAGGGGGGCGGAGCAAGTTGTCAGAGGAGTAGGAGACCTGGATTTCATCTGGTCTCAGGAATTCAGCTGAATAGGGATCAAACCATTCTGAACACCTACAAACTCAACAGGAGATCGAAGAAAAGAATAGCAACAACTCTCTGAACAGATAAGTGACCACTTACTGGAAGGTAGGACGTGCAGAGAAGTGAATCCGAGGCGATATTCGGGAGGATAGATGGGGGGGGGGGCCTCCCTTGGCCGCTTCTGGCAAGTGATAGAGCCGTGGAGCACAAAATCGGAACTTTTAGAAGTCGGCTCCGCGGAGGGACGTCGCTCCAGTGGCTAAGAGGGGGGTGGAACCCTCGCGGGTCAGTGTGGTCTCAGGACCCTCGGGGTCACAGAAAGACCGGGGGTGGCTTAGTGCAGCAGAGCTCCCAGGTATTGGAGCGGGGAAGCCGGCTGTGGACACGGAGCCGAGGCATGGGCTCTCAGCTCGGGGTTGCCATAAACTGTGATCCACGGCCCAGTCGGGCCACTGCTCCTCCAGCAGGGACCCAACAAGCGGCAGAGCTGGGGAGACTCCCCTTCCTCCCCTGAGGGAGGAGCAGCATGGGAGCACACCACAGGGATCTGCTGGGTTTGGAGACTCCACACGGGGTCAGGTGCCAGAGATAGAAACACTCGTTCACAGGCCGTGTGAGCACGGAGTGTGGCCGGAGACCAGGGAGACGGGAGTGACTGCTTTTCTCTGGGGGCACACTGAGGAGCGGGACCCCGAGTTCTCAGCTCCTCCGGGCGGAGATTGGGAGGCCACCATTTTCACTCTGGTCCTCCAAAGCTGTACTGAGAGCTTGCAGGGAACAAAAGCTCCTGAGAGCAAACCGGAGCAGCTTGCTTAGCCCGGACTGACAAGGGCGGGGCAATTCCACCTCTGGCAAAGACCTTTGGGAACCATGGCAACAGGCCTCTCCCCCAGAAGATCAGCACGAACAGCCAGCAAGCCAAGACCAAGTTAACCGATCAAGGAGAACGGGAGAACTCCAGCGCTAGGGGAATACTGCACATAGAATTCATGGCTTTTTTACCATGATTCATTAGTTTTTCAAAGTTAATTTTTTAACTGTTGTTTTTTGAATTTTTCTTTTTCCCTTTTTCAAACAACATCTTATCAATCCCTTTTTTAAAAAAACATTTTTTATTTTTCATTTTTAGCGTCATATTTTATCCCTTCATAGTAGTTACCCTTATTTTTGGCATATATATATAAGTTGTTCTCTCTTTAAAATTTTGAGATACAGTTTCTTCTAACAGATCAAAATATACCCTAAATCACTAGTGTATGCTTTGTTCTAGTCCCCTGCCTGATCACATTCTCTCCCTTTTTTTTCTTTTCTTTTTTTTTTAAATCTTCTTCTTTCTTTTTTCAAACAACTTCTTATCAATTCCTTTTATAAAATCTTTTATAATTTTCATCTTTACAGTCATCTGTAAAGAGAGAGAGGACTAGAAGATGTATTTGAGCAAATCGTAGCTGAGAACTTCCCTAATCTGGGGAATGAAACAAATATTCGCATCCTACAGGCAGAGAGGACCCCTCCCAAGATCAAGGAAAACAGGTCAACACCCTGGCATGTAACAGTAAAACTTGCAAATCTTAGAACCAAGGAAACCATCTTAAGGGCAGTTAGGGGGAAGAGATTCCTTAGGTACAGAGGGAGGAACATCAGAATAACGTCAGACC